GTGTGTTGGTCTTGCTTCCAGAAATAAAACTGGGGAGAAGGCACATGATAAACTTTTATGGTGCTTCTACAGCTTCTGTCATGAGCCTGTGCAGCTCTGCTCGATGCCCAGCCCAGCCCATCATCTTTCCACTGAACCCAAACACCAAAGAACAGGATTTGGAAAATAGGAAGGTCCTCGTAAGCCAAGGGGTTTCACAATGTTGTTTTGCCTGCTGGGCAACCATGTAATGTTCACTGGAAAGGGAGGTGCCTACACACCTTTCCTCTTCCAGCATCTCACAATTTGTAAGAATCCCATTATTGTTATTGTTCAGCAGGACAGAGGTGCTCTTTTTCTAAATGCATTTTCACATCCAAGACATCTCACCTCTACGACGAGCTGCAGATCGTCCATGTACCTTTCCTCCGTCTGAATGAGCTCGTGAATGTAGCCCTGCCTCTTCCTTTCCATTGGCTGCATGGTGTCAAGGCTCTGGAGATCAGCACACCCTATAAGAAGTAAGACAGAAGTTTAGATCCCACTCAAGGCACCAGATCTGATGAATTAAAAGAATTGCACCAGCACACACCAGCCTGTGCCTCAGACCACACAAACAGCAGCAGCGGGTTTCAAAATCGAGTGATGTAGCGATTGACCCCCTCCCTCCTTTGTGTCATTTTTCAGTCAACTTTTTATTTCTTCAAATGCCCCTTGTTCTTGTTACTGTGATGCAGAATGAGAATTCCTGACTTCCTGCCACTCCATTGGTCTCATGACTTTTCTCACCTCTTCTGCCACACTGATTTGAAACTTTCCTCTTACCTCATGCAATGTCTTTTTGGACTTGATGATCTTAAAGATCTTTTCCAACCTTAATGGTCCTATGATTCTAAGTTCTCTTTTGTGAGATGAAGTAATGAAAAATGTGTCTGGTCCTGACTTAGGACATCGCACCTTTAATCCCCACCCCATTTCTCAAGTCCTCTGCCTTGGCTAATAATTTATGATAAACCACCACTACAAATTTTTAAAGTTATAACACATAATGTTATATCTGTGTAACTTCACAGTTGCATAACTTTTTTTTCTAAGATGAGCCTGAAATATGTTGAATTATTTTTATGTATCAATTACAAATAATCAAAATCATGCACAGGAACACACTGGCAGTCAGTGACACAAACCCCAACTTTCTGTAAGAACATGCGGGCCCTACAGCTTCACACAGCTCTTTCTCTACTGTATGTTAGTAAACAAGACAACAGTGTTCAAACTTTAGTAACCAAACCAAAAATTGGTAAAAACAAAGTGGTTTAGCTGGGTAAAGGAGAGAACAGAAAATCAATCTAGATCCATCTGTCAGCCATCACATGCCAGCAGAGGACTGCGAAGCAGCAGGGTGGGGGAAAAGGAGAAAAAAAGGAACAATTACAGAGAGTTTGAGAACATCCTTCTATTGCTGGGTGTGATGGCATCGCATTGTAATACCAGGTGGATTTTGCAGGATAGCAGAAAGGACATCGCAGGAACTCATTTAAATCCGGCATTTCTAGAGGAACAACACTTCATGAAAATTGACAGGTGGTGTGAAAGGCAGGGTGACCTACACAGAAAGGGCTGTGCCTCCCCACCACCCTGACACACCTGGGACACGAGGATGTGGCTTTATTCACTACCAGTGTATAGATCTGTTTATGGGAGGGCTGCTCTAAATAACGGAGTTAGTAATAAATTTGAGGGGAAAAAACCTAAGAAACACTAAACGTCAGGCTAAACTTGATGAGACAGTGACCTAGCGGGAACCTCACAGGCATCAAGCTGCTCTGAAGGAGCAGCAACTGTCAGCAAAAGAGAAACTCTTATCAAGTGAACTTACGACACCATGCCAAGTATTCTAACAGGGAAACCCTTTGAACAACACAAAGAAGTGAAACAGCAAAGGCAACAACCAGATTGAAAATCAGGACTTTTCAGTTCTGATTTGCACCCTAAGGAGGATCACAGATCTTAAGCCTTCTGACAAGATTTGCAAAACCACCACTTTTTACAAAGAGGTCTGGGATTGCAGCTCTTTTGATTGTGCAGAATGCTGCTTCTGGCCTTAGTTATCCCCAGAGTTACAATCAGGTCAAAATTAGATGAGAAAAAGAAGTAAAGTTATAGACTAAAGTCATTCTTGTGAAGTTTGGTATCTCAGTCCATTCAGACAGTCTATGGCCAATGTGTGCTACTTCTGTCACTCTTCAGTCTGTACAGCACTGAGTTTAAGCTCACCAGTTTCCTAAGACATGACATTTTAAGATAATCAGGGGTTTGCACAGTAACCAGGCTTTATTTATCCAGATTTGGAAGTCTCAGCTTTGACCACGTGGTCACATCAGCAGGGATGGACTGAAGCTCCCGTCTGCTTGTATTCCAGCTGTTGGAACAATCCACAGGCTGGGATTTGGGTCTGTCCCATGCTGCCCACTGAAAGCAGAAGCAAACACTGGAAGAAAAATGTGCCTTTTTCTGCATTAAAATAGATTTGGTTCATAAGCTCATTATCAGATGCAAAAATGCAGTTACATTAACTGACTCCTGCGCTAACCTTGTATTTGGCCTGTCAGCTTCTGGCATGAAGCGACAAGTGTTGTTTCGTGTTTAATATTTTATTTAATTTTATTTAAACACTAGTGTTTACTAGTGAAAACACTCCAGATTTTGATACGTCTGATGATATCGGCATAAAACCACAGTACGTGATCCTCACATCTGATTTTAGAGGGTGAATTCAGGCATTTGGGTCTGAAGGGAAGAAAGGAATGAGACCAGAGAACAAACCAGCCTACCTGGTGCATTTGTCAATGTTTTCCCAAAGCGTCCATAGCAACCTGTGGGCTCACCGGTACAGAAAGGGTGGACCCACATCTCTACACCTTCTCCTCCCACATTTCCGTTCCCTCCTTCCCTTGCATCAATTCTGGCACTTGTCTGACTCCCAGCTGACACCCTGGCAGCAAACAAATCCCAAGGGGGGGGGGGAAAGAAAACAGTATTTCTCTGCTAGTTTAGCAGCCAGGAATGTGCAGGGAAGCAATACAACTGTCTTGTTTGGCAGCAGAAAGCTGTTGGTTTGGTTTGGCTTCTGTCTGGTCAGGATTCATCCGAAGCTCCAGATGCAACTCATGAAAAGCAGTGAGATTTCTGGGAGCACCTGCAGAGGGGATTGCAGCTACTCACTTCCTCTGCTTATTGAGAAGGTTTCCTGACCTTTGGAGGGGAAGCCAGCCTGCCTCTCCCACCAAGAGCAGGTAGTGCTAAGCTTTCAGACCGCCTGGAGCACGACCTGCCCAGCTCCCTTCTCCACAACATTGACTGGAGCGAGCAGTCAGTGTCTGGTACCTTGGAAACTTGGGACATACCAACAAAGATATGCCTACACCACCTGTGGTGCCTTCTGTGCTAAATCCTGTTCTCCAAGGGGAGGAAGCACCTGCCTCACCAGGGCAGGGCAAAACAAGCTGGAGAGTGTATAAACAGGAAGTCCCAGTCTCTACAGTTGTGTTTAAAATTATACTTTCCCCTCCAAATATACCTGAACAAGGAATATTTTTTCCTACTAGGATAACTGCCGCTGCCTGAAACACCACCACATTCCACAGTCCAAAGATGTTCTGCTCTGGAGGAGATTCACATGCCTGAAAAACATGGGGGCTGGGGGTGAAAACCTTTCCAATTACTGACATATTTTGGATTTGAGCATGTTCAAGGGGAAGAGCGACACTTTCTGAAGAAAAGAAATCCCCCAAAGAAAGAAAAAGATGAATGAGACCTATCACCATGTCATTTTTTTCTTGGTTAAAAAAATGAGTGAATTAAAATTCTTCACTTAAAAGCCAATTCCAGAGAACTGAAGTAAAAAGCAGATGAATAAGAGGCTTTCCTAGATGCCCAGAGCTGCTTGGGCACTGAATGCTTTGTCCCGTTCCCCAGCAAACTTCCCCTCTCAATGAACAAGGAAAAAACACATTAGAAATGACAGCTTAACCCTCCAACAGGAGCTCAGGCACCTGCCCAGAAGGATCTATCTAGACCAGAGGCATTAACTGCTTTTGGTCACCAGTGAAGACTATTTAGGGGTAGAGAGGAGTTTAGATTGGATATTAGGAAAAATTTCTTCACGGAAAGTGTTGTCAAAGACTGGAATGAGTTGCCCAGGGAAGTGGTGGAGTCACCATCCCTGTAAGTGTTCAAAGAATGTGTGGACATGGCACTTGAGATGGTTTAGTGGTGGGATTGGCAGTGCTGGGTTCTTGGTTGGACTTGACAATCTTAGAGGTCTTTTCCAACCCTAATGCTTGTGTGATTCCATATAAACTGCATTTTTAAGGAAATATATTGGTTTGTTTAGAGTTTTGGGTTTGTTTTTTTTTTAAGGGGGTTAGTTGGTTGTGTTTGGTTTTTTGTTTGTTTGAATCCCAAGCCAGTAGATATGGCTGGGAAAAGCAAGTAAGCCTTGGGGTTTTTTTCCCTGTCTCTTATTTTCCCAAGCTGCCATAGGAAGGCCACATCTCACCTTCAGGACCATGGGCTGGCATTAGAACAGTCCCTTCAGTACAGCCAGGGAGCAGCTGGTGGCATCATGGGACACCACCCATAGCCACTTACAAGCTCTGCTGGCACGTGTAAGGCCAAAACACTTGTGACACACTCCTGTCACTGCCTGGAGCAGCCTCTGTGCTATTGAAACCCACAAAAGGAACTAATCCAAGAAACCTGTGGCCATGGAAAAGGTGGTTTCCATCAGGCCCTAGGAAAAATAACAGAAACTTTTGTCCAATCTCCCCTAATCAGTAAATGCAGGATACTCTCTCTGCTACAATAGAGGAAATTCATGATTCAATTTCCAAGAGGTAAAAAGCAAGACCAAGTCTCTCCATCACAGAGCCAGGCAAGACAATGCTTGTACCGAGCTATTCAGTTGGGAAAAAAAATCCTCCCCAGAAGGACAAAAAAACCACAACAGACAAACTAGATCCTTTTATGTGTCCCTTTAATAAAATACATTTGCATAGTTATCTTACAACATCGTTTAAAACCAAGGATGAACAATTGCCTCATGCTAAGCACAGCCTGCATTCGCATGTCTCAACAACCATCCCTGCACACGGACACTCAAGCTTGGGAAGAACAACAGGAGGGATCTTAAGGCAGCACACACCATTACACAGCAGTTTTATTGGTTCATTACATTGAAGTAGCACAACCCTGCAGCAGCTCCCACTGCAGGCCAAGGATTGCCCGCATTCCTACGAGCAGACTTATTTACAGGTGTTTCCAACCCGGCTCAAGGAAATCACACAGGGATACAATCTGACAAAGCATCGAGATGGCAAAAATATTCAGTGACTGGTAGGAGATGTTTCAGTTATTAGTGTGTAACTTTTTGATGGAGCTTTATGCCTTCTGTACTCCTGACTGCACCATTAATCACATGGAGAAAGTGCTCTAGATGCTCTCAGCCCTCACCACCACTGACTCCTTGCACAGCCCAGCCCTGAGACCGGGTCCCAGTAGTGGCACAAGACCTTCCTTCATGGATCCAAGTCTGGATCAGGAACTAAGCTTGTGTAAAACTAGGCTTGTTGTAGCTTGTTAGTCCATTACATAAACCAGACAGTTACAGAATTAGGAAGTGTTTTGGTACCTGTCCTTGTGCATTTACAGCACTGTTCATGTTCTCACCCCAATGACACCAGGGCCCCTGTTCTCTGCTAGCCCACAGAAAACAACATTAAGCAAATACTACACTGCAGGCAGCAGCATATTTCACTTTCCATGTTGGCTCCAGTGATACCTGTTAACCTTGTGTGGCTCTGAGCAACATTTAAACTCTCAGTTCTTGCCCGGGAACTATCAGTTAAACAAAAAACTCTATTTTCCAGCTTGCCCTTAGTTCCACAGCCAGCCTTTTTCACCCAAATCAGGGTGATTTTACTTGGCTGGCTGGGATGACAACCTGAACTCAACTCTGTGGACCTTTAGCAACAAGGGGTGGATTGCACACAACCAGAGAAAAAAGTAGCATTTTTGAAAGAAAAAGTCTGATTTAAACCCAAGCTTCTATTAGCTCCACCTCTTCATTGATACAGAACATTAATTAATAATAATCTTGCCATAAATACATCCTTGCCATGGTCTTTCCCATGGATGACCTGATGTGTGTATCCAACCCTTTCTGCATCAATGTGCAGGAGAGCAGAGCTCTCAGGTGATTGTGCTGGAGCTGTGCTAGACAGACTTTTGCAGTAGAGACAAATACTGAAGGCAGGGACTGAGTCTCTTTCAATCAGCATTACTAATATGTGTTGTTATTATCTTTGTTATTACAGTTAGAGAATTTAGAGCATACTCAGTTAATACTGAAACACAAAAAGGTAACTGTGAAAGCACAAGATGCTTCACTTTAATACTCTTCAGTTCTAATTTAGAGGCAGCAGTTTCAATAATTTTCAATGCTCATACCTACATACCCAACAACAGGGCTCCCTGTGTGAAACTTTACCTAACAGTGCCCTAATCTCCAATTGTATCAGTTAAAAAATGTGTAGCATGCCAGCTGCTTTTGGAAAATGCCACATAACTATGTCCTCAAACATGCCAGAGAGGATGTTTTTAGTTTTTCAAAGACCATTAGTAGCAATCTGGCATTCAAGGAAAACTGACTGAACATTGGGAAGTCAGTGCAGCTCAAATCCCACAGGTTAACAGTGCCTTTTAGAAATGAGATAATTTGGAAGGTCACCCAATTCTCAGACTACAGTGATTGCTTGATGCCACTGGTGCAGCAAAAGACGCTTCAGTCTGTATTAAACAGGCCTTTCAAGACAGAAATTCAGAGAAGGCAATCCTGGATCAGTAACACATTCTAGTAGAAACACTTGAAATGTAGTTTCATAAGGAAATCAAGTCATCTGGAATAGTCAAAGGATTATCTAGCACATTATTTGCCTACAACAACGCAATTTCATTCTATAACAGAATACTGGTTCAGACAAAATACATCCAGAATAAAAACCCATTTGTAGTTTTCTGTAGGCACATTGCTTAGTCCATATTGCACAGAAGATACATCTCTGAACTAAAGGGCACATATACATTATTTGATCAAGTATATTAAATACATAACATCGAGATTCTGGAGAAAGGCTTTTAAATTTTTGCAATTGGACTAACCTTTTCCTGATAGTACCTTCACAACATTCATAAGTGTATATATATATATGTCTCTGTAGTAAACAAGCAGTGTTTTGTAAACATTTCTGATTGCATAAATGACCTTTGCTGTTTCATAACCAAGTTTGGGAAACCAACTACATTAAATGCCGTGTCTATGAGATTTCTCCTGTTGCTACAAGAGCACAGAACTATTTAATCAGAGAAGGCTGCAATTAAATTAATCCTTTTATTTAAAGGGGAATCAAGGTTATAAGTCCCTCCTTCCCTCCAAACATTACAGTAAGACATGGGCACCATTACTGCACCTTACTGGTGACACACCAGGGCTGTGAAGGACCACCTTTGGGCTGAGGAGCACAGTTCCATTCCTAAACCCAAATGCTCTGCTCTCAGCTCCAAGTGTCACTTAGTGTCTCTTTTCTGGCAACACCTCTGTATCGAGGTTAGCTGTGCACTAAGGCTGCTGGTTTATTCACCAGAAGGAAGAGCAGCAGCTTTCAGACAGTACTTTGAGTCACTGCAGAGTGCAGCCAGACACAAACAATTCTGTACCATTGACTATTTAATGAAGGGGCAGGGAAAGGGCCTGGTCACACAGAGGCTGTGTAAGTACTTACTGCAGCAACTAGCACATTTGCCAAAACTGAAAGCAAATATGAATTATCAGCATAAAGTATTTAAAGGAAGGAGGTTGTTTAGGGATAGAATGTATTGAGCCAAAACAACCTGAATTCCTGCCACAGTACTACTGTGAAGGAAGAAAAAAATTAAAACTATCCTCCACTCTATGCTTAATAGTTCTTTCCCCAGTTAAAAAGGGTTTTAAAAGGCTGGATGGACTGCACCAGATCTAACCCTTAGATTCTGTAGCATATTTGTAATCACAGTGACTATCAGCAGCAGACAGGTAGGGTTTGTTTCTGGATGAGCCATGTAGGCTGTCAATTTTAAAAGCTCAATATGTAAGAGATTAAATCAAGTCCATTAGAACAATAATCGGTGAACATTTTAATTCTGCAAAATATGTACATTACAACATTAAAAGAACACAACTGCCCATTCAAAACAGCTCAGATAAACTGTGCAAATAGTGGGTCTTTGTGTGTCTGCAATCCCACCATGCAAAAGATAACTTGATATGCATGCTAATAACTATGGTTATCAATACCAAAGGAAATACTAAAGGAAACAAGAATGAACAGCAGTGAAAGCCACACAAAGACCCACTATCCTTTCTGCTTTTACAAATCAACTGAAACTGTAGATCAGAAGAAAAAAAACCACAAAAACCTAATTTCTTGATTGGATCTAATGTTCAAACGAAGCAAAAGGATTGTGTCAGACACGTGAGCAGGGCTGGCCACCCTGCCTCCACGCTAGTCAAACTTGGATAGTGGGTCTCTGAGGTGCTTTCACACTGGAAGACAACATTGGGTCCTAAAAAAAACAAAAAAAAATGAAGGATAAAATGAACATAAATTTGAAGAGTGAAACATATGAATTATATGGACAAAGACAGAACAACACCAAAAAGGTCAGAAAGGAATGATGAACAATTCAACTTTCTGAAAACAGACATCATGAGCTTCCACCTTTGCAATTTCATATTTATAAACACACACAGATTTAAGTACTTGTGACCAGCCACTGCTGACTCTGAAAAACCTCTGTAGCTGATTCATTTGAAGAAAAAGTTGCTTCCCAAGGAAGACTTCTGTTATGTAGACTCAACACAAGGTCAAGCCCCAGGGGTTTGTTTTTAAAGGCAATGGCAAAATTCCCTGACATTTCAACAAAACCAGGATTTCTCCTGAGAAACTTGTAATGGGACATTAGAAAATCAGATAAAAACTAAACTTGTATAGAAAAGCCTTGCTGGAATTTGTTCATATAAATTAACACATAAAAATTTACCTGTTTGACTCTCTTCAAAGCCTAAAAGAAATTAAAGCCTTGTCTCCAGTAACATGTGTCCATGGAGCAGGATGTACGACATCCCTCAATTCCCCATCAGAAACCAAAGGCTACACAGTCTGAAAAGGCACTGACTGCAAAGTCAGGCTAAAGGCAGAGGCGTGACATGGGCTGCAGCTGCACATACCTTGTGGGCAATCCAGAGACTATTCCATACCCCAGGACTTCAACCTGGAAGCTTTATCCAGCCTGGCTGACAATCACCACATAGTTTTAGAAATACAGAGTCAGTATGTCACTATGAACTAATTGACTGACTTTGATCTTTGGTAAAGGGGTAAAATTCTGCAGCTGTTGAGTTAAATCTTAGAATAAATTATTAATCTTCATGAGATAAAAAATTCACATAGACCTGCAACAGGCAACACCTCAAAGCCATTGATACCATGAACTCTTACTCCGTAAAGAGAAGTTACTTGGCAAGAATTAGAGAACTTCAAAATGTGTGTCTGTATATAGACACAGAAATGCACCCACCACAACCACATCAACTCAGAAGTTGTTTTCTCACTATGAACACTCTTGAAAATCAGGCAGCTTCACTCCCTAGACAGTGTGCACACGAATTACCGATGATCTTCTCTGCATGAAAATAGACTTCTGGAAATAAAGAACCTTGATGGTGAAAGGACAGGGCTTGCCTCATGTCTCTAATACGTCACATCTATAAGTGAGGTTCGGGGAGCAAACCAACTAAGTAGATATAATGGTATTACTATAAATACCAAGTTTGTATCTAAGGAAATTCACACCGTTGTCATACATGCATCAAGAACCGTCTATGGAGAGAGGATCTGTGCCCAGTCTCACCACCTTTTGCCATGGCACTGACAGAAGGCAGAGCAGGCAGGTTTAAATGGGGAAGGAGGTGGCTCTCAGGCTATAGAACTACTTGGAGCTCAGGCCTGAGCACACATAGGAAGTTACTCAGATGAGTGAGGAACTGCAGCAATGCTGGGCTATGGAAAGGAAAAAGTGTGAGCAGAAACACTAACAGTACATTACTGTGAGAGTTGTGAGACACTGGAACAGGTTGCCCAGGGAGGTTGTGGATGCTCCATCCCTGGCAGTGTTCAAAGCCAGGATAAGTGGATAACGCCTTCAGTAACTTCTACTGGAAGATGTCCCTGCACATGGCAGAGGGGTTAGAACTAGATGATCCTTAAGGTCTGTTCCAACCCCTTAACATTATATGATTCTACTAGAGTAGGAAGAACTGGCACAACATTCAGCTCTGTGAAAGACCAGCCTCACAGAGGGAGATGAGGCACCTCAGCCAGGACGAACCAGAAGCCTCTCTGCACACTGAGCACAGGTGTGTCCACTTGGCTGAGCTGTCCAGCTCTCAGCAAGAATGACTCTGAAAGATTAACTGATCTCTAACACTAAAAGATATCAGCAACCAAGTGTGCAAATGTAGCTGGAGCAGCTGTCTTGCCTCTATCTGAGGTACCTGAGGGGAGAAAATCTCAGCTAAAAAAAATATAAGGATAAGGTTCTCACTGTTCTCACAGATGAGAAGACAAACTGAAAAAAGCTGTCTCACTGAAAAAGCCAAATAATGAGAGAACAAGTTTCCAAGAGCAAGGCAGGTAAAGGCTGGTTGAAACAGAATTATCTCCAGACCAGGCTATTGAAAAGAACTGTAAAGTGCCAAGTGCACCATGCCTATCCTGCCTTACACATCCCTTAGGGAAGAATGGGAAGAGAACCTGGTAGATGTGTTCTAGGTAGGTACTGGCAACACAGAAAACATCTGATCCTGAATGGCTGAGCAAGCACTCAAAGAACAGAAGACTCTGACTCTGTGCATATTTCTTTATTTTAAATATATAGCTGTATTTTGAAACTTCTTGTTTATTCTTTATGATAGCTTTTGTGCAAACATTAGAATGAGGGCTATTAAAATGTCATTAAAACACGAGCAAGTCTAATCATCACCAAGGCTACTGAGAACACAACTCAACGATTCCTTGTTCTGCAGTCACCAGGTATTTTAAGAGACCTGTTGACAAACCTACAATGACCTGAATTGATTTTCTTTCTTTCCTTGCAGAGACCCTGTGTCAGGACGTGCAGCCACACCACGAGGAAAAGTGAACTTGTTCTGCTCAGGGAGTTATTTCAGCAACTTAAGAAACATCTCGCTGACCTCAGTTCCTTCTTTGCTAGGGAAGTTTGTCATTACAGCTATAACTAGTAACTCCCAGAAAAGACTCTGGATACAAAGCTGGTCCAGATAATAGAGTTTAAATTTGAGGGAAATCGAGAATTTTCATAAGCAGCAAACCTATTTCAGTAAACCAAATCTGCCCACTGCCTTTCTAATGCCACTGTATTTGATCATCTAGAAAAGACGGCGGGAGACAAACTGCTATTCATCAACAGAAACATTACAATACTCAGATTAGCAGTTCTTTAAAATACAAGGCATTTTTAAAATCACATTCTGTCATATCTCTAAGCTGGTCCCTAGAGGGCCACATCAACACTTCTGTGGGAATAGTGATTTCTCAAGAATACTAGTGATAGTTTCTGCACTGTGTTTAAACAAGAGCAAAAAATACTGTAAGGAAATTCCAAGGAAGTTTGGAAATTGAGTCAGTACATATTTAAATATTCCTCTGGTTACAGAAGAATGGTACAGAACTGGCTTACTGCTAACACAGCTGACCAGCAGCAGCTCAGCTGAAACCTGGGTAATGATATCTGCACAATGCTGGGTTTGAGTTAACAAGCCACGCTGGTTGTTTTGTGCAGGCTCTGGGTTTGAAGCAGCATTTTTCCTGAAGTTTCCAAATGCTTACCTTTTAATGTCACAAAAGAGTGGCAAATCCCAACACAAAACTGATGTATAACTTAGCTTATTTGAAATACTCAGAGAATTAAAAAAAATACATAAGTTCAACATACTCTTCATTCACCAATAGGTGGATTTTGTAGATCTGATTCATAGACAAAAGTTTAGCAACCAGATACAGATGACCAGGTGCACATCTGCTCATGTGACTGACCTTTCTGAAAATACTTTCAAAGCACAGCCACAGTTTGATGTGGATGGAAATGTTTTTATCCCGCAACACTGAAAACTAAGGAAAAGTCTAATGCCATATCAGCAAATAATGAGACAAACTTATCATATCAGAAGTTTCCAATTACATTTTGATCTTAGCACAGCTTTTGCTGAAAATCAGTGCTATATGATCACCTTGAACTTATCAACTTGGCCACATACCTGGAAATGGCAACACACCTGGGGTGACAAGCTGTTCTCTCTGTAATTTTTGAAAATTCATGAAGTTCTACTACTTCGCCAGAATCGTAATTTTATAGCCCATCTGGGTGTAGTCTATACTATTTATTCAAAACTGAGATTTGTAAACAAATTAAAGCTTTCAAAGGACCACTTTAATGATTTAGCCTTGTCTAATCAAAAGAATGTAAAGTTCAATCTAAATGCAGAAGTTTTTGACATCCCAACCACACTGGCCAGAGGCATTTAAAAAAAACCCCAAAAAAACAAAACCCAAAACAATGCGTTACCAAAAAATGTGAGCACAGAAGTAATTTAGCTAAAAAGAAAACCTCAAAAGAAAGATGCACACTCTGTTTTGCCCAGGAACCATAACAAGCTACCCAGGGAAAATATTTTAACTTTCCCATCCAAGCTGTAACCTTCATTACGAGTTTGTGAATCCTTCTGTAAGAACGCAACCATGTTGATCAAACCTGAAGTGCAAACTGGTCCTACACACAAGCTATAGGCTATTAAGAGTGAACCTCAACCAGACTTGCAGATAAAAAACTCCTAATGAAGCCAAGGGAAAAACAGCAAGTGAAGAGACAAGACCTATCATGTCAAAGGAGCAACTCTGGCATCGGGGTATGTTCCCAAACTCCCTTGATTGATATAAAAGTTGGTTTAATTACAGGATGAAAAGCTGAGGGAGTGAAAATGGTGGTAAATTTCTCTGTGGAGAGGGGCAAAAAAATGGGGTTGCATGTGCGTGGGACACCAGAAACCTTTACTGTGTTTATGTTCAAAAAAGGCACAGAAAATACTGACTGCCAGGTGCACAGTTTAGCCTTCAGTTCTCAGCATGCCGCTGGTAATTTTCAGCTCATGTTTTGATTACATGTTGTTTCTCAGAACTGGACGAGAGCTGGATTGCTGGGAGTCAGGACATGGGCATTTACCACAGGATAGACCACTTGCTAATGTCAGTATCTTTTTCCTATTGTTTTTATGGTTATTTTTACTTAACTTATGTTAAAATGACTACAGATACTTTTTGTAATTTTATGAAGCTCCAGCAAGTTCTATAATTGGAGTATGCCTGCACTGCTTCCCAGCCCGTGTTAGTTATCAGCATCTTTCTTGGAAGGGGAACTCCTACCAAATCCAGTATTTTTAGCTCATCCTCACAGTCTTGCTGTCACACACTGGCTGGCTGGTAATGTGCTTGCTGTTTGTAGGTTAAATAGAAAAGGGTTTAAAGCACTTAGTACTATTGCAAAGTATTTAAAGAAAGAGTATTTAAAGTACTAATCAATTCAGCTGATGCCTGGAACTACAAATCCCAGACACAAAGCAAAACAACAACAATGCACCTTTGAAATAAAGTAACAAAATTAATCAAAAAATAAAAGTTGCTTACACTGCTGACTTGGATCGGAATCCGTGGTCATCTTCACATAGTTTGAGGGGAAGAGACCTGTCACACCACTGATTTCTCCTTGCCACCAGTCAGCATCATCTTTGTTCAGTACATTAATCAGCTGCCCCTTGGAGAAGCTGAGCTCATCCTCATTGTTCGCCGTGTAATCGTACATGGCTATCACTTGACACACTATGAAGGAAAAAAAAAATAGTAGAATAGAGTTATACAAGTATTAAGACTGTTTATTCTGTGTTTTACATAACCATAGGAAAGGAACAACAATTTCACATACACAGTTACATAAGAAAAATACCACACGAGCTTATCTTGATGTGGAAATTTTTTTCTTTTACATTTTTAAAATTGAGCCAGACAGTAACTTTTATTTCCACGTTGTATATCTATGCACTCATATAATGAATGGATTGAGTTAGTATAGCAGCTATTGACTTTCTAAAAGCTTGTGAATATAATCAAGTATTCTTCCATTTCTTTTACTGGCTGAAAAGAAAGTGAGTTTGATTATGTTATAGCAGATACTTGTGAGAAAAATGTAGCAAAGGAAGAGGAAATGTGAGTTAGCTAATCCTGGGCTGCTGCTTTAGTCACAGGGAAGTTCTGCCCAGTAAAACCCAGGAAATTGTTGTATAAGCAAATCATAACTGTAGAGAACAGCACAATTTAAGCATGAAGAACCAAAAGAGCTTCCTTTCTGCAAAATAATCTCATTTGTACCCAGACATTCAAATGGAAAAATTGAGTGAAAATTTGCTGCTTAGTCTCCCTCCTTATAAGGAGCAGTGCATGTTATTCCAAGTTATTTGTCAATGACTGCTAGCTCTCTGTACGATTTTTGCTAGCACTTGGAAACATGGAGTTTCCAAATGAGAAGAGTGTGGCTCTTCAGTGCTTTTAGCAAAAACAAAAAGCTCTTGCCATAGAAATCTGTAAGGGTCAGTGTCCATCTTCTGAATACAAACACCTTTGTATGACTGAGACTTTCTGCTCTGAGGTGTGCAGAAGACAGTACATGTCAAGGAGGGAGTCTATGAAGAACTGCTTTGATTACAAAGTTGTGAGATTTTGCCTCCTTGCTCCTGGAGGAGCTGAATGGACAAGACTGCCAAAAGACACAGATTCTGACTAGAACTTTACCTGCACAGTGATACCACAATCAGATATGGGCATGTAGAGGGTTTGTGCGGCCAGGTTTTGGCACAGTAGGGGGGGCTACAAGGCTGGGTTCTGTCAGAAGATGCCAGAAGCTTCCCCATGTCCGACAGAGCCAAGGCCAGTTGGTCCAGGATCAAGGCTGAGCCCATCAGTGACAGTGGTAGCACCTCTGGGATAACAGGGATAAGAAGGGGGGAAAAATTCTGCAACTGCAGCCAGGACAGAGAGGAATGAGAATATGTGAGAGAAACAGCTCTGCAGACGCCCAGATGAGTGAAGAAAAGGGCAGGAGGTGCTCCAGGTGCTGGAGCTGAGATTCTTGTGCAGCCCATGGTGAGGCAGCTGTGCCCCTGCAGCCCACAGAGGTCCATGGGGAAGTAGAGATCCATCTGCAGCCCGTGCAGGAGACCCATGCTGGAACAGGTGGATGTCCAAAGGAGGTTGTGACCTCACGGAAAACCCACACTGGAGCAGGTTTGCTGGCAGGATTTGTGACCCTGTGGGGAACTGACACTGGAGCAGCCTGTTCCTGAAGGACTGCACCTCACAGGAGGGATCCACATGGGGCAGTTCGTGAAGACTTGCAGCCCATGGGAAGGACCCACGTTGGAGAAGTTCATGAAGGACTGTCTCCTGTGGAAGGGACCCCACACTGGAGCAGGGGAGGAGTGTGAGGAGTCCTCCCACTGAGGAGGAAGGAGAGGCAGAGACAACATGTGATCAACTGACCACAGCCCCATTCCTCATCCTCCTGTGCTGTTGGAGGGGAGGAGGCAGAGAAATTGGGAGTGAAGTTGATCCCAGAAAGAAGGCAGGGGTGAGGGGAAGGTGTTTTAAGAGTCAGTTTTATTTCTCATTACCCTACTCTGATTGGTAATAAATTAAGTGAATCTCCTCAAGTTGGGTCTGTTTTTGCCCCTGTTGGTAACTGGTGAGCGATCTCTCCCTGCCCTTATCTCAACCCACGAGCCTTTTGTGGTATTTTGTCTTCTCTGCCCAGCTGAGGAAGGCAGGGATAGAGCAGCTTTGGTGGGCACCTGGAGTCCAGCCAGGGTCAACCCACCACAGGCCATCAAAAACAGCACTAGGCTTGTTATGTAATTCAGACTAATACCTGAACAACTGAAATAGTTACATAAAATACTCTAAATGAAATACAAAGTCTTTTATTTCACCTGAGGGAGCAGCAGATGTGGTTCTTTCACTGCTTGGACCCAGTAGCTTCACATGGCTGGCAGGGAACCATCCTTTCTGTCTCTTTTTCCCTCTTGCCTGCAAATGTTTACAATGGTTATTACACAACTGAAAAACCAAATAGTCTATAGACTGGAAAAATGCAACAAATAGGACACACAGTTCTGTGAACAAAAGACAAGTCAGGCTTTCAAACACCTACTAAATACTAAACAGATTTCAAAAGGAAAAAATCTGGCTAAAGGATAAAACAACCCAGTTGGAAAAAAGCTGCACCCCAATATGTTCTGGCAAACATGTTTATCCAAAATTTTCAAAGTGCAAATTTCAGAGTAAAACTCAATTGTAGGGCCGAAAATTTGTTCTACGAATATTCTACTTATGCATCAGGAGTCTCTAATGAAGTTAGGGGCACTGTTACATGACACTTTTCTTAAACCTAGGTGGAGAAAGGAGAAAAGTGGGAACAGCCACCTTTGCAATAAACGAGTTTCCAACTCCAACTTCCAAGAATGTCTTTTCTTTCATTAGAATAATTTTACAGTTCAGGGTTTTACCAATTAAATCCTAAACAATTTATTAACTGCCAACTTCCCTCTCTCCCCTCCCATGGCTATATTCAGTGACAGTTTTACTGTTTTCTGTGACCAAAAAACCCACCCCAAACCAAACAGAAAACCCCCAGCAACCTAAGGTTTAAAAGAACCTTTTTTCCCCTCCCTTGGTGAATCCAAGATGAAAATAACTTTCTGGCCAGCTTTTATACAACTTTATACTTAGTTGTTTTTTTTAATTAAACCCAAGTGCACCTCATTGCCATTCATGAAGTCACAATTATTTCTCCTTGAATAACTACCTGCAACTCTCCTTGCCACCATCCACTGGCATTTTTCTTCAGGATAAGTATTAGCTGTCCTGGAGCAAGACTGAGCTGTTCAGTCCCTGATGCAACGTAGGCAGTAGTAACCTGAGCAATTTCTGAAAAGAAAACATACTAATTGCATTTGTTATTTTTTCACTGCAGCAAGAGCTACATCCACAGTAATATCCCAGTACATAATGTGCAGCTAAGAACATGAGCCACACTGATATGAACCAAAATGCTCAGACACTTATGAAACAGTCTTAAATGTTAAAATGTTACCACTTACCGGGTTTCTTATTTATTGTTCCAGTTTTGCCAGCATAACTAGAAGCCTACAAAGACACAAAACCCACCTTTTAATGTGCAGTAAAAAAGCAGAGTTTATTCTAAAAGCATGTGGAAATTTTAATTTTGAGCCCGCACTTAAGAAAACACCATGCTGCATGGACAAAGGCAGTGTGACACTGGCTACAGCACTCATTTAGCACTCAAGATATCAAGGATTTTCTTTTCTGTCAAGCATATTAGCCTCTGCTTAAAATCACTACCTAAGAGCCAGGTGTCAACAGAATAAAACTGAGAGAAAATACCGTGTGTTAATTCTGAGAACATGAACTCACTTCTGGATCCTTTGGTCTGACATAATTGGAGGGGAAGATTCCAGTTCTGCTATCAATGCTCCCGGTCCACCATTCCCCTTCCTTCTGGGTCACTAGGATTTCCTCACCTTCCGTGAAAGTCAAGTCACCGGGTTCAGAGCTTGAATACGAATAAAGGGCAACGTACTCTGTGCAAACAGCACACAAAGGAGGGGACAACAGTTTCAGATGGGGGATAAAAGTACATCAGGTGCAAATACAGGGATATCAGCATTCACCAGCGTGTTCATAACATGGATCATATCTTCACAAGCCTGTGAACTGACTTATCTACCTGCTTGACTGCAATCCCATCTTGCCTCATGCTTACAACTCTTACAGGCAGCACAACTTTGTAATGAAAAAACACAGGTGCAACTAAAATATAATCAGGAAGCATGGACATACACTAGATTATAAGGTTAAGAAAGTGCTTCCCAAACAATTTTTCTGCAGTAATATTCGCTTTCTCCACTTCTTACTGATTTTAAGAGAATGATTCACACTCGGAAGAGTAAAAATCCATTCTGATGTCTCTGTAGTACAACAATAACACAGCAGAGAACAGCGGGAAGAGAACTTAGCTTATAGCTATGAGACATATTTAAGTTTTCAGAAATATATTAGTGCTCGAGCAAAAGTCTTAAAAACAAAACCAAAACCCAGGCCTGTGCTCAACCTGAATTAGTCACAATTTTAGAAGTCTCATATCAGTTCCTATTTTGTGAGCCTTGTATCAGCAGCTCAATATTTGCACTGTGTCTTTTGGACAAGCACCAAAATGGCTGCACAGCAATTCCTCTCAAATGAAAGTATACCAACATGCCATTAAGCAGGAACAGACTGTAGCATTAGTTGGCATGTTTCATGCTGTCTTACCCTCTCCTGCTGTGTAACACTGTGTATTAGGCCTTTTGTTTACAGCTGCATAAATAGCTTCTGGTCTGCAGAGAGAAAAAAGAAAAGGTTTGTGTAACTAAGAGGTTGATCAAGAACAAATCTCTCAATTAGGATGATCACCAAGCTCACTTTGGTGATCTCAGAGCTGGTATTGACTCTGAATTAACTGCAAAGACTTCCCTGACTGTCAAACAGTGACAAGTATTACTGATATTTAGTATATTAAGGACACCCAAGAGTACACCATTTAAAAAAAAAAAAGTCACATGATGAAAGACAAGAAGATAAATTCACAAATTATGTTATCTAAAAGAAGTAAATTAAAGATTTTGACTAAATTCTCTTTTTAAATTCTTAATTAATTCTTTTTAATTCTTAATTTTTAAATTATTTTTAAAAGAATTTATAAGAACTTTTATCATAAAATGCATGAAAAGAATAATTCACAAACATGGTGAAGCCATCCCAGCAGTAACCAGACTTTGGATTGTTACCTGAACACTTATCCTGCAGCACTGGACTAGACATAATGATCTTTTCAAGTAAGGAAAAACACACCACTTCTACCAGATGTGCCTCTGAGCTTTCAGTTAGTTGTAGGTTACTTAAAAATTGGGACCTTCAGAGGCAGAATGCAACTGCACTGCAAGAGAGCTGACTTGTTAATGAGCAAGAAGTCTGGCACTTGATGAATAATCAAACACCACTGATTTTTCACAGCACTCAGCCTAGCGAGACTGTCTATTTACACAGCAGTGAGCCCAACATTACTTGGCTTGCCAGAATGAAATAATAAAAGCCTAAAACAACACGGTGTAAATTGTAAATGGTATTTATATTCTGCACACTAAAGCTCTGCAAGAATTCTGCACTCTAAACCACCTGTTTTTGTTAACTGCTGAATAAAACAACAAAAGAAGTCACACTTACTCCTCTTTCTTGATTTCACTCCCAGGTAAGAGCTTGACATACGACTTTGGAAACCAACCCCTTCCTCCATGTACCTCTCCGAACCACCAGTTCTCCTGCTGCTCCAGGACAGTAATGATATCATTCTTTGAAAAATTCAAGTGGTTATCTTTTTTTGCAGTCCAAGAGCAAAGTGCTTGTGCTTTTAGGTTCTCGACAGGCTGCCCCTATAAGACAGAAGTGGAGATGTTCATTGACCACACCACCCCAGACTGGTGCAAATGTTAAAACCAAACAAACACTGATGTATCTTTTATTGAAGCTTAAGCAACTCCATTCCTACTGAGTAGTTTTTAAGCAACTCCATTCCTACTGATGGCTGAGTAGTTTTTTTTTGCATTGATGTTTGCATGCAACTCAGTTTCTTATTTGTTAGAAATACCTCCTGCATCTAACTATAAGTGAGAATTATTTCAGAATTACAAAACATGAGCCTTCTTGTTCAATAGTCCCCGGAAATATGGAATTATATCAATGCACACTAATGGAGCATTCAAACAAGTTTCTTCATCCTCTAGCCTGTTCAGTGCGCCCAGCTTTAGCAAAGTTGTGTGTTGTTTTGGCTTCTCTTAAATCATTTTAATGAACATGAATCTAAAACACAGCAAGTTACCCACTCTCACACAATGTACCTGCCCATGAACGGGTGAAACAGATCCAGGGGACACAGTGCGAGTAAAAGCTGATTTCTGTTGCCAGGCTGTGTTAACATTCAGGCTAGAAAAGGGGATGTTTTGGTAATCAGATTCTTCTGCAGATTTACTTGGTGAAAGTGGTCTGCAAATGGAACACAGGCATATTTATCAAATTACAATTTTTATTTAGTAAGTACCTCAAGCAGAGTATTTTTTTAATATATATAAAACAGATATTCTATACAATGGGAAACAGACTATCCAATACCTAAAAGTCTTAGCTTGGAAACTTTAAGGATGTTCTTCAATATGTTTTATGCCTTTATATTTTAAAAACAAACACCAAGTGAAACTATACAGCACACTATGTACTAGCCAAATTTAGAAAAAGCAATTTCAACACAAGCATAACAAAAACTCACTCTGAAGCAGCTGAGGTAGTAGATACAGATACTGTAGGAGGAAGTAAGGCTTTCTTAGGAGATAAAGCTTTTTCTCCTTCTGGTATTTTTTCTACATAATTGCATGGAAACCAACCAAAATGTCCTTGAAAACTCCCATAAAGCCAACCAGGCTCTCCCACAGTTTTTTCATCAACCTATGGACAGGGGGATAAATAAAAAGGAAACAGAATTAGCAGTATGAAACAAATGGGGTACCTGGTGTGTCAGCACCTGCTGGCACTGAACTAAGCAGTGCTCACACAAGGATCAGCATTTTCATTCTCCCCTTTCAGAACTGAGCTGATTTTGCCCTGTTCACAAAACAGGGTAATGATGCAGCCACACTGGTTTCAGATACAGGTAGAGACAGGCCTCAAAGACATTATATTCCTCCAAACAGGTCCCAGACATGCACATGGGGGATCCTGTAGTGTATCTGGAGCCACTCTGGCCTGCCAAAAATTATAGTGCATTGTGTCGTGTTTTGCTGAATGTGCAGCCCACAGGCAGTGGCTGGAGAGCCCAGCAGAGCAGGGAAACAACCATTCTGCTTACAGATATAATTAACTGTGCCAGCTGACTGCAATCAAAACACACCCAAAAGTGCTGCTGTCTACTGTATGATTAAGTATAGAGCATCCTTAAACATTCACAGCAATACTGAAGCTTCTATTATGCTGCAAATTAGCCAGTTAGTGAAAACTGGCTAAAAATTAGCAGCTCAAAATACTATCAGCTTGTTAGCTTAGCTGAGGTTTGGGGTGTAAGAGGAGGAGGAGGAGGTGGCAGCTATTAGCCCATTTCTGAAATCAGGCACCAGTAGTTAAATGATACAATTATAGATGAGAAGGAAGTCAAAACAAAACCTTCTTTTCTTCTCTTGTTCCTTCTTCCAGGCTTCGATGGTATGAAAATGCAAATAAATGGTTTAACGTTGTTAAACTGAAGCTTAATAGTCAAACAGTGTTTTAATATTTTGTACCACACTGCTTTGTAATTCCCCCTTATCACCTACCTATATCACTTATAGTCTGACTGAGGAGGAACCATAAGTACTTATACATTAGATATAAATATTAATTGTATTACCACAGCTGTAGATCAGTTTTCACAAGTTCACCTGAAGGCACAGGCTTTCAAGACAATGTATGCTGCCAAGTGATAGAATTACAAGAAATAACATAGATTTCAACTGAGATGCTACAAGGCATTTTCAGTCTTACAGTCCTGCTGTAATATTATATATAGCAAATTCAGCTGACCCCAGGAAAGTGCTACAAAGAAGGGAGACTGAATAAATTACTATAGGTATCTGTCTGAGGAAGGATTTATAAAGGACAGTCAGCAAGAGAATCATAGAATCGTAATGGTTTGGGTTCGGAGAGAACTTAAAGATCATCTGTTTCCAACCTGTCTGCCAAGGGCAGGGACACTCTCCACTAGACCTGTTTGCTTAGAGAGGCAGAAATCTATGTTAAGAATATACTGGAAAACAGTATTAAAATTCAGAAGAGCCTTTAACATCTACTTGTTAAATAACTAGTTTGATTTTAATTCAAATGCCATTAATTAATAATTCATGTCTCTGTTTACTGTGCTCATATTTCAAGCAGACACTTACAAACCAACTTGTACAATGAACTGCAAAAACTACATCATTTCGAGTCTACTATTTTTAGAAAGTTTATGTTTAGCATTCACTATGGTTATTTTTAAAGAGATTCTCAGCATCTTTAGGATTTGTAAGATTCAAAGAAATATCCTGGCTGAACTAATCCTAATTTCATCTATTTAAAAAAAAAAAAGCAGCAATCCAACTTAAATTTTAAGTAAACGTTAAAATATATCAACACAATGCTTTTGACCCTTATGACCTTGTGCATCTCAAGGTCATTTTTGCAATTTAAATGTGAATGGCAAATCTTACCTGAATTACATCCCCAGTATTAAAGCTCATCTCATCGTGGTTCCTTGCTTCAAATGGATACAACGCTCTGTAATTTACCAAGGCAACAGAATTCCTGGACTCTGCAACAGTAACTGCATTGCCTGGAAGGATAAGAAAACCAGTTACCATTTTGATACAGCTGAAAGACAAGCACTTAGTTGGAGTCCCATCATTTATCTTCTCATCTTTCCTTGCCACTCTGCTCTGTGGCTGCCACTGGTTAAAGCCAGTGCTTTAACAGAGTCTCATTTAATACCATCATAATTTTCCAAGTTGAAAAGATACCACTGTTGCAACAATAAGTGTTCATCAGCATGTCTGAAGATTTTATTTAGAAACCCAAAATAGCAAAATATCACGGTTTATATTTTCTTTGCACTTCTGTTCTGCAATGAGTTACTAACAGTGAATGTTTTACAAGGTATAGCTGAGGTATGCAAATATTTTTCAGCCCTGTTCTAATTTGGTTTTTGCTGAACTCAGTGATAAAAGTGGCTAATAAAAATTGGCAAGGACTTATGAAGCATGAAACTAATCAAAAGTGTCTTTAATATTATTAAACCACTATTTTTCCAAGTCCCACAGGTAGTTAGGTCTAGTCATTCAGTTCTTTGGTTTTTTTTAATATGAGGCATTGAGTAATGCAGAAATAAACTAGATTTCACTATTAATAAATCACTTTTCTGAGTGTTACCTGCCCATCTCTCATCGCTGAACAAAAAACTCCATATTAACATTATTTTTTAATGAAAGAAGGTGCAAGCCTTAAGAAAAAGCCAAAAATATTACTCTTTCTAGTATCTGTAGTTTGTTGACCACAGTCACTGGAAGATTTGTCATCAGTCATAGGTCCTGAAAACTGATAAAAGTAACCTAAGTTAACAGGATGTTTTATAACTAACTATAGATGCGAAACATCGCTGGTTTGGGTTTTTTAAATTATATCTTAGACAATGTCTAAGCCTGCCATGACGTCACATTAACAATAACACATATGAAGAATGAAATAACACTCAGGAAAATAAAACCCATTAAAGCAAAAATGTAACAGACTAAGATTACCTTCATTTTTCCAGGGTGGCTTAAGACTTTTACCCTCTGTTGGTTTCAAAAGATCTGCAAACTTTTCATTTATGTTTATTTTAGAAGTGTGTTTCTCCATCTCTTGAGAGTTGGTTGCTTCTTTTATCTTTTTCAGTTCTTCGTTCTGCTTACGCCTCTCCTCAGCTTCTTTTGCTACTTGTTCTTGCTTTCTTTTATCTTCTTCCAGTTGCCTCTGCCTTTGTTGTTCTGTCTCCCTCAGGATTGTGGCTTGTCTACTTTTCTCCTCCTCTGCAAGAAGCTGTTGTTTGTTTTCCCTTTCTCTCATCTGAGCAAGTGCTTCTTCAGCTTTCAGCTTTTCTTGGACTTTTTCCTGCATCCGTTCTTCCTCCAGTCGCTTCTTTTTCTCTTCCTCTTCCCTTCGAATATTTTCCTGCCATCGGTTCTCCTTATCCCGTTTTGCTTTCCTGAAAGGAAGGAATGAGACAGGTAAGAGAACATTCATATAAAAATGAATGACATTGTGTTCCTAATTGATGGCACTTGTCAGCAAAGCTCAGTCTTGATCATTCTGCTCTCTGGGCAATCAGCTCTTCCATAGGAGAGTGTGCTTGGTCTTCACATGAGTGCCAGTATATTCCACATAAAAACAACAAATAGATTAAAATTCTTGGTACAGAATGTAGTTCTGTTGCCACGGGGTTACTTCTGCAGTGCCTTCACGAGCACTTCTGCCCATTTGCATCCTGATGAGCAAGAATTGATCTGTTAATTGAACCAAGCTGGATTTAGGCTTCCCACCGACATCCTATCCAAATTCCTGATGCGAAACAATCATTTCAAAACAGATTAATTTCACGCAGGTACATACATAGAAATAGCCTTTGAATACTGACTTTTGCTGCTGGAAGTATTTGCCTTCAGCAGTTGCAATACCCTAATTCCTGCCATGACCACTCTTCAGCAGACAGAATCTGAAAATCTGACTGTATTCTCTGTAATTATTTAGCTGCTATCCTGTGCCCCAGCTATCAAAAGAAGTTATTATCCAATTCAACATGATTAAAAATCATTGGAATGTAGCTGTCATTTCTTCAGAAAAGAAAGGACCTAACCCTTTGGGCCACCTTCTGTGGAGGTTGTTGAGGAGGGACCATGTCTAGATGAGACTATTTCATCAGCTCACTGTGGGAGATCCACTTCCCTGATGGGCATTTTACTGTGCATCCAAGCACATGGCAGGACGTAGTAGAAGCTGTGCAGTGATGTTGTTACCCTATCACATAGCTGTGTTCAACCAAAAAATTAACACAAAATAGGCAGCTGATAGCAGAAGGTCCAGAGAGAGAGGAAAAAATTGAGTGGCATCTTAAGACAGACAGAACCAAACCTTAAAAACTAGTTTCTTAATCAGTCAAACAAAACAAAACAAAACTAGTCTGGAGCAAGACCATGAGAAATTAAAAGCTGAGAACAGTAAGATTTTGAGTGCTTGATACAAGATTGGGCGGAGCAAAACCAGGACACATGTAAGTGAAGGGATGATCCTCTCAAACAGAACTGAATTTTCTCACTGTCCTCCCTCCTATAAAAGGAACCAAATTTAAAATTTATGGGTTGCTCACTCATCCAGCTTTCCAGACTAGCATAGGAATTAAGCAGTCAATGCCCTTCCTTAAGGAAGTATCAATCTCACAACTGCTGGGATATATGTGACAAAAACCTGGCAACTGCTCAGTCAGAAGTGCTTTTAAAGAAAAGTCAGATGTTTGGAGGCCACTAAAATAAGACAGAATATATGAGGAATTTTAAATGTCTGAAGATTTTCTATTAAAGGTACTAAAAATCCTAATAGCTAAAAAGTGACTACTTGGTTTATTTATACATCAAAGCTGAATTACAAAGTTTGCTTTTATCTTTGTTTCTAAACAGATTGGAAAGAGGCAAGTCAAACCATCTTACACCAGTGGTAGTCCACATAAAATGTTTCCTCTAGGCAACCAACAGGATGTATTTTTACATTCAAATACATATATATATATACGTACACACACATATATCTTAAAAGTCACTACAGCATTATTTTGCTTTAAAAACTGCAATGCTGATACATTCAGCCATGGTACCTTGCAGCCTCATCTTCCAGTCTCTTCTGCTGTACAAGTTCAGTTCTTCTTTTTTCTATCTCCCTTATTTTGTCCTGTTTGATCCTGTGGAGCTGCTCCAAGGCTAATTGCTGTGTGCTGTAACTTTCTCTCAGGTCCTAGGGAGGGAACACAATGAAGTACATCAAAGGGAATAAAGCCAATCTTTGAGAAAAGCAATCCAGGCATTTTAATGCTTTTTGAACCAAGTTTTAATACAAATGGCCAAAGTAGTATTAAGTTATTAACAGTCCTTGGAGGTCACTGTAAAGAAAATCAAATCAACAGAAGGATAAAGGGAGATGGCAAGTTTGCAAAGTCAGTGACATATTTTAGGCTTTCAAAGAGCCCTTCCAGTCATACACCTGCTGGAAATGCCAAATACGACACGAGAGTGGAAGACACAAAACTGAGTGTTCAAACACAACATTATCTAAGGGCAGAGAAGGCAGTGAAGCATATTTTAAATAACTACAAGGAGGCAGATTTCAGCTGAAAGCCAACACAGTACCATAAAGTTAAGAACACATCCCTGCAGTGGGGGGCTTGCCTTTGTGATGCCTTCTGAATGATCAGTCCCATATTTAAATCAGAAAAACTTTAAAAAACTACACAGCAGGCTTACCACTGTGGGAAGCCATAGCTTAAAGACACTAACTCTGACTGGCGTTCTCCTGTATTTGTAAAATTCACAATTTTAGTTTTTTTCTTTTGAGCACATCCTTCAAATCCTATTCCACCTCCCTCTGATAACAACCGTTTTTCAGAGCAAAACATCAGCATGAGTCCTTGGAATAATTAAATTAACAGAAGAAAAAAAAAATCAACAATAATAGAATTACTTTAGATTGTGCTTCACCATGTTCCAAAACATCTGTAAGATAGAGTGTTTTTCTTAAAAATCCTATTGATACACATTGAGCAATGCAACAGGATCGATCTCATAAATACAACCAAAGCAATTAAGAACGATCCATTCCCACTACAATGTGCAACTCTATCAATAATCATGTTGCCTAAGAGATACTGTGTAATTTACATGACAAAGGCAAGATAACAAGATTGCTGTGTCAGTGAAAGTCTCTGTAGCAACAAACTAAATCAAGCAATTGACTGCAATTTCCTCCCAACATATTCAGCTGAGAATACTTTTTCTTCTCATTTTGTATAAAAATTCAGGGTTGCTTCAGAAGCAAACCTGCATTATAAAAACTCTCATATCTTTGATTTAAGGACAGAAAAACCCTTATGCAAAATGAAAAGCTCAGTAAAGTAATTCTGACTTTTTTTTCCACTCATAAATTATTCTCAAAGTCAGATTTCTGACCCCAGCAGACAAAAGCAGTGTTGAAGAAAGACAGCAAGTAGGGTTTTAGTACTGGGTTAATCTGGAGGTTTAACAACGTTGTGTTTTCCATGTCATATGTCATAATCTGCATACTGATCCTATTTCTATACTTTTAAACTTGGATAAGAATCCTCACAGCTTCAGATGCATGGATATATGGAGACAGCAACAGATGAAAAAGTGGGAGAGGACACTGTTTTCATCTGAGACAATATTTTTTTGTTTCACATTACCTTAACTAAGAAGAAAAATACCTGGGTAAAACAATTTAGTGGACAGTTTATTAAGAAATAAAAAGTCAATATTTTGCTATCAGTATTTTGCAGTTTGGATTTCTAAGCAGGTAAGAAAATGTTAAGTCTTTAAGAGGATGTAAAAGCTAGCAGAAAGAAAAACAGCCTATCAATTGTCTATTAGGAAAATGTATTTAATAGAAGTTGTACAACTAAACAGAAAGGGTAAGCAGAGAAAAATTGCGAAATAATTAAAAAACCAAAAAAGCCAAAGATTAGAAAATAACCTTAAGTAAGAGGAAGAGGTTGTTGAGACAGCTTAGCAGAGACAAAAGGCACTGAAGAACAGAATCATCCATATTCTCACACTGTAAGATAAGGTAGATAAAAAGCCAATTAATCTTTGCACTGTATTTTGAAAAACATATTTGAGGGAAGACTGAATTGTGGATGCAGCCACTGAACACAGCAAGCCATGCAATAAACAAGTAACTAAAAAAGCATGTTGTATGAAGCCATTTCTAAAAAGAAAAGAAATTCCTTAAATGTTTACAAATTTCTGCGTGGTTTTTTTTTTTTTTTTAACTGGGAGAGTGCAGAGCTCTCACTCTGATCCATCATTAATCCATTACTTAAGGAAAAAGTTCCCATCAGTGCCACTAGGAGTAAGCTGGTAAATAAAGTTAAGTGGATGTTACCCTGTGAGAGGTGCCTGAGGTTTTAGACAAGGCAAGAGTGGCCTCTGAAACAAAAACACCTTCAAGGACAGTGGTCAATAATACATAACTTCTATGCAAATTGGTGGCCTAGGCCTTAGGATAATACCTAAGGATTAGGTGATCTTTGGATAATACCTAAATCTGCCACCAGATTTTGTACAGTGTACTACGAAAACGTGCTCCTTTTAATAAAAGTTAAATGTTCAGTGCACAATTCAAAAATAATAGCCAATACGACCTCATAATGTAAGAACAGAATTTGCAAGGGTCTGAAAAACTTTAATTCTAAATCAAAAAGAATTCTAGAAGGCAAAAGGTGAGAGTGAGCAACAGCTGAGTCATGCAAAGCAATGATTAGCAAGAGATTCATATTTTAGTACAATAGCAATAGATTTAAGTGTATTTTTATTGTATGATTTACTCCAAGACTTTTGGTAACTCTTATTTGACACTGGAAGTTGGGGAAAGCTTTTTGGAAGCCTGGTAGAAGTGGCATCAATCTTTATGACCGGATGAAGAAATAAAATATAGTGCTTACAGGTGTAAGATATTTAGGTAACGCACGTACCTTAAGCTGACTGTTAAATTCATCCATTTCAGCAAGTTTAGAAGCAGTTTCCTTCTCAAGGGCATCTAATTGTTCCTTAAGTCTTTGGCATAATTCTTCCTTTTCTACGGACTTCTTGGTCACTGAACTGACTCCTGTACCTGCATAAGGAAAGACAAGCAATTTTACAAGAATTTCTGTTTTCACTAACTATTTTATTATTTTCCTAATATAAACACATTCCTAACCTCTTTCCTCAAAAAAATTCCTTGATTCACCTTTCTATTCATATACAGCTTGAAGAAGAAATGGCCCCAACACTGAACTGAGACATACAGGCATTACATGGAATATATACAGAATAATTTGCAATTTGGGTGTGTTTTTTTTTTAATATCAGACCAATTCATAGCAAACTTCTCTAGACAGTGACTTCCAGTGTGGTTTGATGTAAAGACCAATGTAAACTTTACATGAATTAATTCCCTTGAGTCTACACTACCAAAAAACAGACGAATTTTAATACTATGGGCCACATAGCCTGTATACGTAGATTTTCAAGACAAAGTTTCAAGCAAAATCTGTGCTTTCTTGCAAAAATGTGTTTGTTTACCCCTTATCTAGAACATGAGGGGAAAAATGGAATGTAGATGAAACAATGGCTTTAACTGAAAAGATATAAAAGTGAAGGTGTTATTAACCCATTTGTATCCTTCAGACTTGTTTACAAGAGATGAAAATTCAGCAGTGCAAACAGAAGAGAATTCACTTGCAAGCACTTACTCTGAGTGTTTTCAAGTTGAGCATTTTTTATCCTTTCATTTAACAACTGCTTTTCAGGAACCAAATAAATTAGTTTATTCTGATAATCCTGTAGATATTGAAGGGAACATGACAAATTTTTAATATTGTTTATAAATCAGCAAGTAAAAATGAGTGAAATTTCAAACATAACTTCAACTCATATTAATGAAACATGGATGCAAGTTACCATTATGGGGTAAAGGAAAATATGACCTCTATACTCTTAATAGAAATAGTATTAAAATTGAAAGCTTTTGACCCAAAAGCATTAACACAGCTGGAAGAAATTTTAACAGACATGTTAAAAGTGTAAATATTATCATGAGACCATTTAAGTTGACTGCCCTAAGCTTAACATAAAACAGTAACAAAAAGAAAAGATGTTTCCCTGACATGCAAAAGCATTAATAAAAATACAGTACAGGATGATTCATGGTAGTCAACTGAATTGAAATAATTTACGTCTTGTTATTCAAAGACAGGGGAAAAAAAAAAAAAAAAGAGCAGCAAGGTAATTCAGCCTTAAGATAAACTTGTTCTGGATACAGAACAACACTCCTCATAAAAATTTGAGTCTGGAGCCATAAAAGAACTCATAACTGAAGAGAAGTCCCTTTAATCAGTTCACAGAAGACCAGCTGCAGTTTTGACAACTGTTCTCATTTAACTATCAGCTCATTGTACTGCATATAATAATTTCTTTAACACCACACATAAGCTAAAACCCTCTGCCATGCTGACAGCCTTGCCTATTTCCTCTCTCCACTATAATCCAACTGATTCCCTATTCCTCCCTATGGGGAAGCATTATCAACAGTGTTATGGAAACAGAATACAGTAAAGGAAAATTACAAGCTTAACAGAAAGTTACATACCTCAAGCTGTTGTTGTAGTTGCTTGACTTCCATGATTCCTTGGTCATATTTCCTATCTAAAGCCTCCAGTTCAGTTTTTCTAGCTTGCTTTTTGCTACGAATATCTTGCAGTCTGCCTGAGATTTGCTTATGTTTGTCGGTCTAGAAAGAAATCAAAGACAGATTATACCACATATGGAAAAAGTCACTTCACTAAATCTGTGGGCAGATCAGTTCACAATCAATTCTTTAAAACAACCCAAAATACCTGCTTTAGATTCCTCATCCAGAACAGAGTGAAAATCCTAGTGGGCCATTACTGCAGACATTAAGATTTGCATAGTTTAAAATACCATATTTCAACACGTGTAGTGAAATTCCTGTCTTACCAGAGCTTCTAATTCAAGATTGAGGCTCTTCTTTTTAGAGGTCAACTTGACAATTTCTTCTTGTTCCCTGTTACGTTGATTAAGAAGTTCTTGGCGACGAATTCTCTCCCATTCCAGTCGTCGCTGGCGCTCAAGTTCTTGCTTTGCTGCCTGTACAAAAGTTACATTGCCTTAAATTACAACAGAGATGCAGAACTCAGAGACCATAATTTAATGTAATGTGCTCTATTTCTGAACAGCATAACAGCAACACAACATAATGTCTTCTGTAAAGTGCTTTTATATACTTCAGCATCAAAGAAGGCAGGAAGTGATCCTGTAAGATTCTTCATGTCATGCTCCCAAGCCTGGATGAAGAAAAGCTACATAATTCTAATTGTAGCTATGGAATACTGCCCAAAAATAGCACATTGACAGATACTACTAGAAATTTCCTCTGAGTATTTCACAGAACTAAATAAAACAGACAAGTCTGATGCATGTGCTGAGACACCAAGTAGTAGCAAATTTGTCTCAAGTTCAGCTGTCAAAATGTTATCAATTATGAATTCAGTACAATCTCGTTTGGAATACAAATTTTTGCAAAAATCCAAGAAAATCTCATCTGTCCTATGAAGTATCTGAAAATCTTTAACCCATGCCAAACACTCGATTCATCTCTAACAGACCCAATGTTTTCAGACACAAATAACATTCTTTCTCCAAGACCATCTGCCAGTGGCCATGCGAGGGGACAGAACCAAAGTCAGCGTTCAAATCCTGAATGCTCTGCCAAGTGGATACTGTATGATTGTACACATTCCTTAGAGCAATAAAAAAATAATTTCAAGAAAACAACCTCCCGCCTTTCTATTTCTTTCCTCCTTTCTTCTTCCCTTTGTCTTTCCAGCTCTCGTTGTCTCTCCAGCTGCCTTTCCATTTCGAGTTGTCTTTTCCGTTCCTGTTCCTGACGTTCCCTCTCCCTTCGCTCTTGTTCTTCCCTCTCTTTCTGAGCCTTGCGTTCAGCCTCTCTCTGTTGCTGCTCCAGCAGGACCTGGCGGCGTTTTTCCAGCTCCATATTTCCCCTCTCATAGTTGGCTTTCCTTTTGTCCTCAAATGTCACTAAAATAAGGAAAGGTTGTTATTTCTGTTCTGTGCAAAACACTGCTCTCAAACAAACACCTCACTTATGCCACTAAAGATAGATACTTTTTGGCAAGCTCTGGTTGTTCAGTCATGGATGATGTAAGCATCTTGTTAAACTATTATTTTTCTGTTCAAAAATACCTCTAAATTTTCCTAATTCTATTCCAATTGAAACAAAAAAAAAAAAAGAAAAAAAGGAAAAAAAAGAGTTGCAGTTTACAAATGACCACAAAAATGACTTGAATGTTAGAGGAAAGCCTCTAGAGTCTAAAATATGAAAGAGGAAAGAATGTTACAGGAAAACATAAAAGAACAGCTTTTATAAGCTGGGAGAAGACTGTCTGCTGTTAAAAAGGTTTTCCAAGGTACAAGAAACATTAAAACACAGACAAAGGGCTTAGTTTTTAAGGGTGTTCCCTGCAAGTCCTCCTGGAGTTAAAACCATCAGAAACCAAGACAGGATCAAGCTCAATTACTGCACACAAGGATAAAAAGAGATACAAAGCAATGGTTTAGGCCCCCAGCAACCACCCTGCCAGAAAGAGGCAAGTCCTGTCTCGCAGTATGCATGTAAGAGACCTGTGCAAGTAGCACGAGAGAGTCAACAGCAGAATCTGTGTTTGTGCAAATTGCATCCACTTTTCAGAGAATTAAATTACATTGGAACCCCCTGCTTTCAGAATGTCCAGAACAAAGTAATGCCAGGGAGTTTCAACTGAAAAAAATTTGCAGTAGCATCGTGGTATTTGGCTGTGAAGGATTTATTTTCCAAAATACATTATTAATCAGCACAATTTTCCTTTCCTACAGCTAAAAATAGCCCTTGTTTCTGCCTGCTCAATTCTATTAGATGTAACAGGCTGACTACATCTACTTAACAACCTTCCTATCATCCAAGTTAAAAGGGATTTAGCTCCTGAAACGAAGCTCTCTACAGATTTGATTGTGTCTTCCACTTTCTACAGGTTTCAGCGCCTTTCAGAAACTGTACATTAAGGATGTGAACCCTCTTCTACCTGGCTGTTTTTTCTGTGGCTCCTCCTCTTGCACAGGCTGGTAAGGTGGCAGAGTTCCATTTATATTTTCAGTATATTTTCCACTCCTGGAGGGGAAAAAACCCAAACCACCATTGTTAGAGAAACAGCACAGTTATGTTCAGTGCATTACGTTTCACTGCCCTCAGTGATTACCTGAAGGAAGGTGGTACCAGTTCGAGAGGCAGAGTCAGTGGCAGTGGTTGCCCAGCTTTGGCCATGTCTGTGAGGTGCATGGCCAGAACAAACTCATCAGCCTTCAGCTGCCCATCTCCATCAATATCAGCCAGTGACCTGCAGGGTTTTAACAGCAATACCAATTAAGAACAAACAGCACAATCCCTCACAAGTGACAGCTGAAACTATTCACTGTAATTTTTAAAATAGAGAATTCCTGTGAAATGTTCTGGTAAAAATACTATTAATAACATGAATAATTGATGAAGGGGATATCATTTTGTTAATAATGTACTGTTATCCAGATCATAGAATCCCAGAATGGTTTGGGTTGGAAGGGACCCTAAAGATCATTCAGTTCCAACTCCCTGCCATGGACACCTTCCCCTAGACCAGGTTGCTGAGAGCCCCATCCAGCCTGACCTTGAACACTTCCAAGGATGGGGCAGCCACAGCTTCTCTGGGCAACCTGTGCCAGTGTCTCACCACCCTCACAGTAAAGAATTTCTTCCTAATATCCAATCTGAACCTGGCCTCTTTCAGTTTGAAGCCATACCCCCTTGTCCCTTCACTGCAGGCCCTTGCAAATAGTCTCTCTCCATATTTCTTGTAGGCTCCCTTCAGGTACTGGAAAGCTGCTATTAGGTCAGCCTGAAGCTTTCTCTTTTCCAGGCTAAACAATCCCAATTATCTTATTAAGTTTCCCAAAAATACTGCAAAAAGGATAGGAAAGGGTGAAAGATATCTCTTGATTTATTGCATCACCAATAGAAGAACTGAGAAGAGAATCCAGGACTGTTCTTAACCAGCTCAAAATGCTAGAAAACACTTTTTCAACTGTTTTTTTAAAGCAAAAGAAAACATTATATAAAATTACATCAAATTCTACAAGAGGAACCTTTGCATGGAATTCTTTTTCCCCCTTGTGTCTCCTTGACAGTGTAGGGAAGACATGAGCTGCCCCAGAGTACCTTTCATTGGGTAGGAAAAAGATCACTATACCCTCTAAGGAGAAGGTGACTGTATAATCAGCTTACAAAATGTTTCCCATGCAACTGGGGGGTGGTGGTATGTGTGTGGGAAACCAATGAAAGGCTGTTGATCCTCTCTACATGGGCACACAGACCACCTTGCACTGGCTACTGATACCTTTCAGGATATGCACCCAGGAGAAAAACAGACCCTACACACCTGCTTTATTCCCCCACATTCCAGAGCTGACCTATACAATCCACACTCCCTGTTTACCCTTGCAGCATGTAACCAAACAAGCTGAACAAACAAAAAGAACATTTCAGCTTGTTGCTGCTAAAGACAAATGACTGTCTTGGGATACAGGAACAAAGGAAGCTGAAGAGAAGATGTAAAGCACCAAGCTATTGTGAATTCTGCTGGGCCACTAAATCTTATGTATAACATCTGAGTTATTTCTGAAGGTGTAACCTAAACTACCATGGCTAGCAGGGCAGATTATTAAAAGCCTTCAGACAACTGTAACCACTTCTATCACCACAATAAAGGCAAGTCCTAACAAATGTGTAGTATGCAGGTATCTTTATGGAAACCACAGTAAAACCCAAAAAGGCTGAAGGGTTACTTAATTTTTAATCTTCCTCCATATTTTAAAGCTAACAAGCTAGTTTTCAGAATCCTACATTTGAAATAAATGAACCCTCATTTCTGATGAACTAGTGCAACCCTGAATCAGAAACTGAAATTAGTAACTGTTCTATTATACGGACTTTAACAAACGGAGTGAAAAATTATGTCAAGGTGTCTTTTGGAAATATAACTAATGAACAAATCAGTTTAAGTAGCAGCTTAGTTTCTGTTTATGATTTTAGATCTGTGGTGTCTCTTTATAATTTCTTATTTAATAAAGCACATTTCCTCTATTAACACCATAAACACATTGAATTTCTAATCAGTAACCAAACTCACCAAATAGTAGCCAGCTGAGTCTGTGAAAGGTTTGATTGCAGAAGGGCATTCCTTGCTTGAAATCCTTAGTGAGAGTGTGAAAGATTTTAACAAAAATAAGCACTTCATTCAAAGATTCACGAGGCAAAAAATGGGTCATGAACTGGGGCATGTTTATTTTTTGTATTAATCTAATCCATTTTCATCAGTTGGTTTTACTTCCAGGCTTAACAACAGGCACTACAACCTGAACACAATGAAGATATAAGTATTCTTGTGTACATTTTTTTCACTCAGAGGACCTAACAGGAAAGCTGACATGAAAAAAGGATATTTATGGTAATCCCCACAGCTGTTACAAAAGCACAGCTGACTGTCTACCTAAACCTTCAGCTAGCACACTGGAAAGCTGTCAGCTTTCTTTGGTAGCAAAGAACCATATACCCTTCTAGGCAGCCTGATGGAACCTTCAGCCCCAAATCAACCGAACAAGCTAAAAAGCATTCTTATGTTAACTTCGTGTGAAGTCTTTTGAAACCACCATAATGCTGTGGCACAGCACAGATGTCACTGCAAGTCAAGAAGGAATGACTCCCTTAAATTACTTTGTAAAAATTCCAAATAAAACCCAGGTATCTAAGCAATGACTAACACAGATACATAGGAGCACATGGCACAAAAATGATTGTGAATTTCCCCCATTTTCAAAAGAAACAGTCTCAGTTTGAAAAATGCCTGTTGACTTTACAGAGCTAAATTCCACAGCCTTATGGTTAGTTCTCAGGCTCTTCTACTTCGATCCCATCACTGCCATGTTTCTCCTCTTCCCTGCAACAGCTGCTGTAGCTTCCCCAGTGTATCTGGCTTCTCCAGGTCTAACACAGAGCCCAAGTCAATGAACTGATGGTTATTTCCATTTCTTGGCTGGCTGAAACCCACTCTCTCCTGCACAGGTCTGAATATCAACACTTTCAGCTTTTACTTCATATGTAAATCAAATCCCAAGATGGGATTCCATCCCTCACCCTGTGATGTCCCAGAGGCAGAAAACAGTATTTTTTCCCAACCATACCAAACATCATACTCACCTGATAAATATCCACTCATACTTTTGTCAAGACTGTTAAATTTCTGTCTGTATTTTAATCTGGAGGCCTGAGGAACTGCCCAGTCTGAGGTTGTAATCTTTGGTGAATTCCCAGCTAGTGATGCACTAGAGGAAGAATTTGAACTGCAATATAATTTCAAAACCAAACAAAAAAAACCAAAGCAAAAAACCAAATGAAACCAACCAACCAAACATTAAAATAAAACCAAAAGAGAAAAAGAGATAAAGAAAGAACTCTAAGTCACTTGGCTTGGTAGGCAGGCTTTGGAATAGAAGATATATAGCAGTTTCTGATAATATGAAACAACTTCCACAAAGTTTTACCTCTAATAACTTGCTACAAATATTTTCATCACAAATACAGAATTTTACTGTGAAAGTAAGGACACATATTTATAAGGAAACTCTTGAATTTAAGATCTTGTTCCTTCAGTATCACAGGCACTTATGCCACATAATTCATCATTTTACCACTGCAAATTACAATATAGGAAACCACAGGAAAACATCTCAACTTTCCTAGGAGGGTTTACAAGGACTGTGAAGCCTTGGGCAGATGTCTAAGTAACTTTAAGAGGTATGTAAATGAAGCATGAGAATAAAAATGCACCTGATAAACTCATAACCAAAAGCAGCTTCTGACGCTGTTTAAACCACCATATTCCACCTCTACCTCTTTTATTACTGACAATGACAGGCTGAATGGAGCTTTTCCAACTCATTCAGTTTTTGCAGAATAGTGCTGATGGAGTGTTCAGATATACCTATGAAACTTCCATCTGCTACTCCCAGCATTCCCAGTGTCCCATCTTTGAAAATGAGACAAACCCAGGGGCACCCAGCCTGCCTTGTTTAAGGTAATCCCCTACCCTGTCAAGTAAAAAACTATTGGAAGTGTTATCCAAGGTGATGGAGAATGGTGATAGAAACAAAGCCTTTCCGGCAGGATGCTGGACAGTCATCCTCTGCAGAGAACTGGACAATATGATGGTGAAAATGCTGTCAACAGTAACACCGAAGAAGAGATACCTTGCAACACTATAGCATCACCAAAAGAAAGCTTTCTGATTAAAAAAAAACACCAAAGAAAACCAGAAAGATTATTCCAGGCACACACCATGCCTACAGTCATCTTACATCTGCTAACGTGAGGAGCCCAAATCCACCCCAAATGCCCTGTGCAGGCAGCAAACGGGTGCGAGAGCCTCTGAGTCACCCTATGGAACTGAGCTGGGGCTGAGATGCCCTCTGGACTGTCTTTTTGGAGACATCCCTGGATGCCCAACTGGATAGATAAGCCTAGTCCCTCACTCTGTCTATGGCAAAGCTCTAAAATTAGTGAACTAGAGCAGCTATTATCAAGATTCATTATCTTCCATTATTCATAAAACAAATTCACACATAAATATTGATAACAAATCCTATTCTTATATGGCTGCTGATTACATGGTGCCCTCTATAATGAATGAGCACATTGATGCACTTTTGCTTTTATAACCACTTGGTAATTTTTACTTCTACTTACTAAAGAGGTACATCTCCTTCTTTTTCACAAAATGGTTAGGGTTGGGACAAACCTGTAAGACCATTAAGTCCAATCATCAACCCAGCACCATCACCACATTCACCACTAAATCATGTCCTCAAGTGCCATATCCGTATTTTGGCACCGCCTTCTCTCATTTCAAGTCCTCCCCTACTTCAGTTTTTTCAGATTTACTGAAAATATTACTTATTGTGCATATTAAAAAAAAAAAAAAAAATCTATTTTCAGACTTGGCAGGTCAAATTAGATAAACTAATTTTTAATGACTATATCTTAAAAATAGAAATAATCCCTAAGTTTTGGAAGGTATACTACTTAAGAGCAGGACACAACTTATATACTGAACTTTCATACCTGCTAGATCCTAAATCAATGAGAGACTGTGCCTTCTGTATGTTAGAACCACCAAACCCTCCTGCCACAGGACCTAAAGAACCAGTATGAGGCAGCGCTGAAAATAAACAAACAAAAATAAAAAATAAACCCAAAGAAACTGTGAAGCAACCAGGTATAAGATAATGCTTTATAATCAACATTCAAGGCTTTGATAGAAGAAAAGCTAATTAAGTGCCTTGTTGTTAAGATTAACTAGTTAGAACAGAATTAACGCGTGAACTTTGAAAAAAACCACCATTTGTGGGTTGTTTTTTGTTTTGTTTTTTTAAACTCTCATGCACGTATTAACATCGCTGTCTGAAATTAGCCATAGAGAAAATGAGATTCACAGTTCTGAGAGCGAGTACTGGACTGTTCTATACTTACTTGAAGAGAAAGGTACGGACAAAGGCTGCAGAAGGCTGGATGTTCCATTTGGCAACGAGGAGGTACTGACAGAAGGCACCAGGGGAGCAGAAATAACCAAAGGAGGAATGGAAGTCATGGAAGCCAGAGACATGGGAGCTAATGGTGTGATCGTAGACACAGATGTTGGCATGGACAGATTTGGCATACTACCCATTCCTAGAGCAAAATCCAATAATTCATGATTTAATATTGCAGAGGCTTCAGCATGAAATTGGGTCCCTTATGCTAAGCAGAAACTACACAAAGCAACCTGTGTCCAGAACACAGTGAGTTAAAATAGATGCTGCTCATGTATAATATCTACCTTTTCTCTCAATTTAGACAAGACAGCTCACAGAGGAAAATATACTGAAGAATGTGAGTTGAAAAAAAACCTTTATGAACAAATTCATTCTCAAGGTAGATTTAGTTAGTATTCCACAACAGAATAAGAACTACTTTTCTATAATTGCAGCTATTACTCGTTCTTCAACAAGCCTTTCCCCATCTGGCCCCTGAAAGAGAATTACAACACACCTCAAAAGCTGTGACAATGCTCTACAGGGAAAAGCTGATGCTGTTTCTGAACTTTCTTCCAAGTGTCAGCCTTGGAAGAATCCATAGGGTGAAAAGTCCTTCCTTAGGGGCCAATGTTTAGCAAAGGGTTTCTTGAAGGCAGCTGCCCAAGGAAAATAAGGGCACTTGAATTACTGGCTGAATGTTGTGCAAAACAACAGGTGAAATGATGGAAAGTTAGCAGGAGGTAACTGCATGCCAACCACAGCTCTCTGTAAATGCATGCCCTTGTATGCAAACACATGAGGGCAGGCATTAGTGAAGGGCAGGCATCCTAAATCATGTATGTGATTAATATATGCATACATTTAATTTCAGCATGGAAGTATGCACCAATTTTTTAATCCAGATGCAGTTATGGATATTTTGTTCTACAAAACAACAAAATAACAACAAACATGCACTGAATGCCCAAATACCATCAGAAAGGAATAAAAGTTAAAGTAATTCTGTTCAGTTAATCATTTAACCAGAGCAGACAATCTGATTCACTTTGAAAAAATGTGTAAAATAACTGTTCTACCAAAATGTTGATCTTTGACTAAATTTGACTTCAAAACCCTCATGTATAAATAGGTGAATGAGTAGGAGGGAGACAAAAAAAGACCACGACTACAAAATCAGAGCCTGCGAGTCAGATGGCAGACCTGAATGGCCTTCTTGCACCCCATGTCAATATTCAATGGAAGGTTTTTCTTTATTATTAAACATCTTCATAGAATGAAATTATCAAAAACATCAAGAAAGTGACTTGATGAATATCCTAAATAGGAATATCCTGGGTTTTTTTTCACTGATTCACTAAACTTTCATGGTCAGATTAATGCTTTTATTTGGCTGCAATTAACTGTAGTTTTTTACCTCTGAACACTAAGTAATTATATATTCATAAGTACCAAAGCGAGCAGACATTAGTGGCGAAAATACTGGAGCTTGTTTCATGACAGGAGGGAGAACTGCAGGCAAGTGCTGTCCTTGCAACGTCAGCTTGATGAGTTTCATGGCTATAGAGAACTCCTGTTGATCCATTTTTCCATCCTTGTTCAGGTCTGATAGTGTCCTTAAAAACAAAGTAAAATAAAAATTAGAAAAGCCCATGAGGAAGAAACATGAATTTAACTTTTTCAATTAACGAGAAGCTTTTCTATCAGATTTATTTACTGGTTTTGTACAGGAAAACAAAAAACTTGCTGCAACCATTTGCTGATTTTCTTTTGACATTTATACCCTCAGAAGTTTAAGAAGTTTCACTACCCACTTTGCAGTCTTCTTCAGAGCTCAGTTTTAAAGTTGCTGTATATTAAATACTTATTTCCTGAGAAAGTAGGAAAACATTTGAAAAACCAGAAGTCTCCTGCCCAGTGGATACACTTGTTGCCTCCACTGCCAGCTTCTGCTATGCTTTTTTCTATGCTACTAGCCAGAATAATTATTTTAAATTAACGTTGGTAATGTAAGGAATTAATGCAAGAATCTGAAACAGGATGCAGGAGGATGCAGAAATCTGCTGAGGGCACTTTCATACACCACTATGAAAACTTCATTAATTCACCAACAGCATAAGGAGGTTTTTTTAAGCCTGATATCCACAGTGTTTGACACTTTTCCAAATAAACTTAAATACAACAAGAAATTCATGTAACAGTGCATACATAGCCACAAAATTTCTGGTCAGACAAATAATATGAAATATTATTAATACTTAAGCGTGCAAGGACCAAGTTCAGGAATATAAATAAAATTAGGAAGGAGGAAAAAAAAATCCAGACAATGTTATGCTACATTCTCCCTTTCATTCTGTTACATTCAGCATAAAACCCCAAGGCCTCGCAGAAAAATTTCCTTGCATTCTTTTCTAGGCATTTAAATGTCTGGTTTAGTGGTGAACAGGGTGGTGGTGCTGGGTTGATGGTTGAACTTGATGACCCTAGAAGTCTTTTCTAACCTTAACTATTACATGTGTCTGAAGAAAAAAACTAACTTGCATTTAGTTAGTTTCTTTAATATTCTTTCACAAGTGAGTTGTTCTTAATTATTAAGAGCCTCAACTACTTGCCTTTTAGCCCATGTATGTCTTGGTAACAGCCAAGTTCCCCAAAATGAACACAGGATTCTAGTGAAGACCGAGGAGTTACAAGGAAGAAAACATCTGTTTCAAGTGTTGCCATCACCATGTATATGCTGCAGGGAACAGCACTCTTCCCAGTTCCTGTATTACAGCACTGGTTGGTATCTCACAGTGTATTACAACTGTCCTTCTACTAACCTTTTCACTGGCTTTAGATTTTTTCTTCTCCTCTGCTTTCAGTGTATTTTCCACTCCCAGTCTAGTAGCATGTAATTTTCCCCACACTTAATCTTATTGCCATATTTTAGTGGTTACTAGTATTTCAAACATAATTCAATTTGGTATCTCCAGCAATTCATTAACCCATTATTTACATATTTTTCCTATATCACTATTTTAAGTGTTATTTTTTTAACATCTTTTTCTATATTATTTAAAATATAAAGACCAGGCTTAACAATGACCTTCCCTCTACGAAATTTGCAATTTATTTTCTTTTTCTGTTTCAAGCACTTACAGTTTAAAAGGGCTGTGTCCAATACAATCCAATTTGAATTGACATCATAAGAAAGATTTTTAAAATACTTCTTTTTAATTAGGTGTTGGTACTCACATGGGCTGAATCCTTCCTCTAAATTCAGTAAAATTAATACAATGACTCAGATAACACTTCTACCTTGACTGCTGAAAGCCTCTGTGAGACAACACAACATACCAAAGATGGGAGGTGCGCAGCCTTCAAGTACTATCTTTAAAAAGAAAAACAAGCAGTAAAGAATGCCTTACCATATTTCAGCAAGGATTGAAGCTGGTAGTCCTGATTGCAAAAAAAAGGTACGTGCTTGATCACCTATGATAAACAAGAGAGAAAGGCAGCCTTTTACACCAGAGACACAGATTTTAAGATGAGCTCAGCACTCTCTCGGGGGATCAGATTTTCAAAAGGAACCAGCACACTGGATACCAAGCTTTCCAGGGTTTTTTTTCTCAGCTTTTAATGCTGTTTACAGTGATTGTCAGGTACCCACGTACCATGTCATCCCCAATCCTCGCTCTGAGAAGTGATCTCAGATAGCTATAAAAACTTGAACAGGTCACAAACCAATAGCTGTCAACAGTTTAAAAGATGCAAGACTTAAAGAAGTAAAAATGACTGAAAATTTAGTCCTGCTCCAATTACTTTTACAGGAAAGGCTAAGCATGCTATTTCTTTCCTTCTCCTCTATCCCCAGTAAAAACTAGGAAAATACCATGTTCTAAATAATAATCTGTTCTGTCAGATAACACCCACTATTTCAGTATTTCAGGAAGGGAATGGGAACTGTTGTGCAATCCCATATCAAGTTCCACATCAACTGGTACTGATCATGCTGTAAACAAACACAAAACACTCACAGTGGTGTTTATGCTTACCTGAGTGAATTACAGATGCTTAAAGCTAAGACTTCAGGTTATTCTTTCAGCTCTCTCTTCCCTTATATTTATACACAACCCTTTACTTCAAGCATTTGCCAAATAAATAATGAAGCCTTCAGATGCATGTGCAGGTAAGAGCCCAGTTGTGGCCTAAAGGCAGTTTCCAGAACTGCCTGTTTTTCAGCTAGAGGTAAACACCAACCTCCCGGCGCTGTCACTTAGCCTGAAGATGTGCATGTTCCAAACTGACAATTTCCCACTCTCTTCAGTCCTTTCCAGTCCCAAAAGGGGAAAAGCAGGAGCAACTAGACAGGGCATTAGCAGATAGCTGGGCAGGTAGAAGCAATCAGGGCTGGTCTTTACTGCCCACACACAAAGAACAGGGCATTCTTAAATTAAGTCATCTTTACCAATGAACTCGAGTGTTTTCTTGATATCACATGCAGATTCTTACATCTAAAACCTGCAAGTTCTGAGGTGCGTAGCAACATGATCCAGTTGTTCCACAGCTGAATGCAACTGGAACTGACAGCAGGGCAGTGCAAAATGCCATTAGTGTATCCAGAACCTGCTGAAGGCCCAATGCGTAATAAATTCCAAGCAGTCACTAACAAGGAGAAGCTGTCAGCATCTCTCTCCCTGCCTCCTCCTCCAAAACAAAGATATCTAACAGCACAGTATTCTCTAACACTGCTCAGACAGAGGAGAACCACTTCTGGTGTCTCTGGTGTCACTTGCCACAATAGCTACTGTAAGTGCTCCTTGGCAGCCTCCCATCTAAGCACAGATTTTGCCTGATACTCTTTGGTTTCTGAAACCAGACAGAATGACAGCACATAGCTGGTAGCTGCAGAAGTGATAGGGTTAATGGAATAGTGCTCCTGTGCTAGACCTTAGAGGAAGGCTTGTAAAGTTTACTAATAACCCGTGGCTGTTTGCCTGAAGAATATGGTTATTAGTCACACAACAAAGGGCTAGAAATAGGATGCAGTTCTCAAACTGTTTTACAAAGATAGGTATGTGTACACAGAAGTTAATGTGTAATGCAGAGCCTCAGACCAACCTGTAATGTAGCCTCCCGTGGGTTTAAGGCTATCAAACTGCTTGTCGTGCTTGGCCCGCTCTTCGGAGGTGATGGCCCATATGTTTGGACCTCCTGAAAAAAAACAAACCAAAACAAAATTCCCAGTGAACAACCTTTAAAAAATAAAGCAAGGCACTTGCAAAATAAAAGCTTGGCTTCTCAAGAGACAAAGTTAGATGTGGACACACCCAGCCCCTACCAGTTTGGCAAGGACGTTATGAAACACAAACCTGCTTCCCAGATGTGCAAGCGGAGCTGAGACAATCCCTCAGCCGGGCTGCTTTACCCTCGGCTTTCAAACAAGCTCTGTCGCCCTTCAAAGCTGGTGCAAAGCAGTTTCCTGTCGCTGCTGATTGTTTGCAGCCTGGGCAGGATGCACATGTCTCACCATACCCTGTGTGAGCCAAATACTCCCCTGGTTCACTGATAAACAAATTGCATTCAGTGTCACTCGGGTTCTCGTGCAGAGGGGTAACACCCTCCAGCTGCCAAGAAGGGTCGTGCTTGTCTTGTCAATAGTCTAAAAACAAAATTTTGACTGCTAAAAAACAAATGTTGGGTTTTTCTGACAAAGGAGTGACATTCTGGGCTTTTGTTTTTTGTTGGGTTTTTTTGTTTTTTGTTTAGATAACATACAATTTCAACTTCACATTTTCTGATACTTCACAAAGCATAAAACATTGCAGCCTCAGAGCAGCAAATAGAAATTGCAGGGAATAGTCATGTTTACAGAGCTGTGCTGATAATACCAGGCAGAACCAGAGAGACTTTCAGAAATGCTCCAACCTGCTGCATAAAGGTCAGGGTGTGTGTCCTTTGCAGGAAAAGCAGTTTGCCAGAAATAAGTGGGTTTGGTTTTTAAGTAGGAGGAAGTTTCAGTCGGGAAGTTCTTGACAAATATTTAATTTTTCATATCAATGAATGTGAGAATTAGCCAAAATTCTGAATGGAAACCCTTGAAACAGCATTAAAAGGTTATTACTTCAAAACATCTCTAAAGTTACCTTCTCCTGAGCATTACTACTTCCAAAGAACTGTTAATCTGTTCAAGTATTTGTACTGCTCACTAAAAGACAGTGAAGGGAATAAATAATTCTAATAAGATACCAACAACTTGCCTTAGAAACCACAGCACTTTGAAAGGAAGTTACTATAAAATGCTTCCTCTTTTCCTACATAAATCTAATTTCAAAGCTTTAAACCTACAAAATTTCAAGAGCTTTTTGCACTCTTTTCTCAAAGAACAAAGTAAAGGGACTGCAAGCTGACATACTTGCCATATTGACACAGTAATAATGTTAATCATCTCTCATCTGTCTTTATCCATATAAGCAAAGCCATTTTCAAAAAAAACCTTAATGTCTCCTCTCAAGAAGGCCCTGCTAAAACTGCCATTCTCCTTGGATGTGTACAGATTTAATTCTTTACCCTTGCTCCTTAATAGGGAAATACAAATAGTTAAAAAGGTCAAAACAAATCAGAAACTCACTGGGGAGGTGATTGACGGAAGAGACATGAGGGCATTAGGATACAGCCTCTACACACTTCAGTTTGGAGCTTTGCTTCCCTCTCTTGGGGATATACCAAGTTTTTTTTTTTACTGTGGCCTCAATGAAAGGGTCTTCTTGCAGGTTGCACGTGAAATTGCACTTCAAGACCCGTCCCCTTCTCTCTTCCAATTAAATGAGTATAAATAAATCTAGATTAGATACTGATAATGAAGTGAAATAAATCTAAATCAGATGCCTGTAAGTCGATGGGCAGTGAGAGCATTCCTGTAATACACAAATAAGGACAACTCATACCCAATGGCAAAAATTAGAGTAGCACTTAGATCTCTTTAAAGTGTTAATTTTAAGATACAAGCGGAAAGTGCATGATGTGGTTGTGCTTATAGACATTGTCTGGGCAAGACGTAGAAATGCTCCTAAAGCTGCCAGCAGCAACTTCAGAGAACTTGACCATTTTTTTCATTTATGGAAAATATTAACAACATCCCATTTTTCTTATATTAAATACTATTCTTTAATCATCTTTTGAAGCAGGTAGCTACAACACTCCTTGGATTTTTAAAATTGATGCCTGAAGGGTTAAGACCACTACAATTATTGACATGGTCAGTGGCAAAGCAGTAAAAATACACTAACAATTCCTTGACTAGAGTTATGACCATCACCACAGCCTCCCTAAAGAATCCTATTTACATTGTAAGACAACTTCTGTTTACATATGTATCGAAATGCAAAACTTCTCACTTGTATGTAACAAATCAAGCAAGAAGATGGCAATCGATCTTGAAAACCTTCTTATCTATTTTAGCAAAACACCTCTTTGAATACAATCTGGTAAATTATGTTTCCCCTCCAACTATGAAATTCGAAGTTTTACGTAGCAGTGTGTCAAATGTATTAAAATCTTACAGGTCAGCAGTAAAGTCTAATTCAACAAGTGATTAAAATCCACATTCACCCTTCATTCTCATTTTTGCCTTCATTAACACTCCTTAAGAGCCTCATAATTTTTTGCACGCAAAATATTTTGTGCACTTTTACCTCTGGAACTAGAACCTCAAGGTCCCTTCCAACCGAAGCCTGTGATTCTGTGATCTAGTCCAACCCCCCTGCAACGAGCAGGGACATCTTTAACTAGGTCAGGTCACTCAGAGCACCTTCCAACTCAGCCTTGAATGTTTCCAGGGATGGAGCATCCACAGGTTCTCTGGACAGCCTGTGCCAGTGTTTCAACCACCCTCATGAAAAAATTCTTCCTTACATCTAGTTTAAATCTGCCATCTTTTAGTTTAAAACCATTAACCCTTCTCCTGTCACAACAGGTCCTGATAAAATGTTTGTCCCAATCTTTCCTATAGGGCCCCTTAAAGTATTGAAAACCCACAAAAAGTCCTCCCTGGAGCCTTCTCTTCTCCAGGCTCAACAACCCAAAAATTCTTGCAAGTATAAATTTCCTTTAAAAAAAACCTTTGACTACAACTACATTATTATATAAACAAGTGCTTCTACGACCTTTTACAGTTCTTGTGAGCCAGTGCAAGCAGGTACTGTCACAGGAAAGTGATAATTCCAAACACACATTATCAAAAGAACATTGTGAGAATGTTTCAGGGACCTGAAATAAGCTCTACCCTAATATCACTTAAGAGAGAGTGTCTGCCATCTGCAGCCTGAACTAGAACAGGTCATTGTTTTATGAATACAGGTTAATAACCGTTGGACAATGAAAATATTTGTTTAAAATAAAAAAAAAAAAAAAACAAACCCCAATAGTTCTGGTAGAGATTCACAGTAAGGGCAGTTAAACCCCACCCACTTCTTATTTAAAGGATTCACTTGTTTTTTTCCAACTCCTACCTCATATGCTACAGAAACAAGATAAAGAGCACAGAACAAGAGGGAAGGTTAAAGCACTGCAAATGCTTAGTTTTAGCTTAACCAGGTGCTCATGACTCCTGTGATGTCACCATTTGGTGATACAATTAAGTAAAATCTGTGTACAGAAAGCATCATACTAAGATTCCTCAAAATATTGAGCAAAAATACCACACCAGTCTATCTGAAATAAACACTTGGAACGACAGGATTCACGAGGTCTTGGCAATTCTACAAAGCCTTGTCATGACACCATTCTCCAAAGTAATTGTTGGGTTTGCCTTTAGTACAATCAAAACCATCAAAATAAAGACTTACACGGACAAAATTACTTTGAAACTTGGTTTTCCCATGCAATCACAATCAAAACATGCTGCAATCTTCACAAACACTGTGATTGTTTCCTGAAACTTCCATATGCAGTAAAAATGGACACTCAGCACAACTGCTGAGAAAAACCACAGTGCCCAACTTTTGGGCACGTTGAACTGTGAGGAAGGGAAGAGTACTCCTTTTTTTGGAAGGGTAAAGCTGCAGGAAGAGTCAAACAAACATCTGCTACTCAAATGGTATCATCTAAACTTACCTGGCTTAGCTCAACATTTTTTTGCATTAACATGCCTTCAGTCCCAGGGTTGAGAAATGTCTTGCCCATAAACCAGATCCAATTAATTTTGCCCAGAGATATTTCTGTTCTTCTTCCTTCCTAACAGCCCTAGTCCTTACTCATGGCAAGTCATCCATGAATCATAAACTCAGATGCAGGGGTCCTCTCTTCACAGTCACCTCCCTGACCCCAGGATGGGCAAGAGGTAGGAATCTTCTTCACGGAGCAGTGGTGAACCTTTGGCTCTCCAGAGGTTCTGAGCTGGCATCAAGTAGCAGTGAACTACAATACTTTTAAAAAATCAGTTCTGCATAAATCAAAGTACAGTTGCTACTACATGCTCTCATGAGAGGCTTTGCTGCAGCCAATGAATAGTACATTGCTACTTTTCTGACTTAGCTTAAATTTCCTGGATGTTTTTAAGAGACAAATAATTTTTCCCAACTATAGCTGGTAAAATTTTGGAGGGGAAAAATAGTACAGTCTCTCTGACAAGATGATCACTCATAAGAATAAAATCATTTTTCTTCTAAAGGGGTTACTTTACAATTTCACAGCTTCACAAAAGAAGCAAGACCCGCCTGGACTGTATATGACTACACTGCATTTTCAGGAATCAAAACTCAAGAAATGCTGAACTCTGGAGGTTTTTCCCCACAGAGACTTTCCCTATAATAGAGTAACTATTGTCTTCACTTGCTTTTTTTTTTTTTTGTTTATGAAAAAAACACGTCTATATTAGCAACACTTTTGGAAGGCAGAGGTTAAACTGTCTTTCTGTTCTACAGAAGGCCGACACTTTCAGAGAAGAATTGGGATAAACGTCAGGACTGGCAACTGTTCTTGAGACTCAACATGGGAAACCAGGACTCACAATCCTAGAAATGTTTCTGCAGATTCCCTATTCCAAAACAGAAAACCAACAGTGAAAGCTCCTTTACTTTCCCACTCCTCAACTCTACAATACATCCAAGAGTTCAAAGTCACATGTGGAATCCACCCATGTAGAAAGTCCATACGGAATGACAAAGACCCACACAAACAACCTGAAGCTCAACATGATTTTAATGTAATGTTAA